GGAGTTAGTTTTGAAGATTTAGTTGAACAACAGAGTCAGAAGGAATCAGGTGCAGCCATAACACCAGGACATGCACTGGTGCATCTCATTTGGGAGGGGCTTCAATTGATCAATATGCTTAACCAATAGATAGCAATGTGTTGTTACTGCCTCAAAGTAGACTCAATAATCTTGACTAGGAATAAGCTTAAATGAAGACTGAAAGAAAATGAAAGACTGAAAAGAACTGGAAGAAAGACTACTAAAATTAGCAGAATATTCTATTCTTGCAGATTTAACAGGGAACTTCATGGCACAGTGGATAAAGTGCTGGGCCTGGAATCAGGAAGACCTGAGTTCAAATCTGACCTCAGATACTTATAAACTGTATGACCCAAATTATGGAATCTCTGTCTGCCTCAGTTTCCTCAACTATAGAATGGGAATAACAACAGCACCTTCCTCCTAGGATTGCTGTGAAGATCTAATAAGATAACATTTGTAAAGTGCCTAACACTTAATAGATGCTTAATAAATGCTTGTTTTCTTCTTTCCTGATTGACATACGGTACAGCCAATCATGTAGGAAAAAGGAAGATGTGGGAATCAAGTGCAGGAAAGAAGAGGGGAGGGAGCTGTTGAGAAGGCAGCTCCCTATTCTGTACTTCTGCAGTTATTGGGAGTGATTAGCCCAAGTATAGTGCTTTACATTTATCCCTATTAAATTTTTACTTCTTGGATTTGGTCGACTGTTCTAGCCTGTCAAGATTATTTGCTATCTCTCTCAAATTCATGTTACCTACAAATTTGATGAACGTAACAACTACAATTTCACCTAAGTTCATTATTTGAATGTTGAACAGAACTGAGCCAAAGACAGATCCCAGAGTACTCCACAAAAGTCTGAAATGAATCCTTTTATCACTATTCAGTGCATCAGAATATTCTGAATGTTCCTAACTGAACCCACTTAGTTCACACCTCTTTATCTTGTCCACAAGGACAAGGAACTTTTTTAAGCCTTGCTTAGATACAGATATAGTACACCTAAATTCCAGTGCCTTCTCTCTGCTAGTTATTTCCTATTTATCCTATATTTAGTTTGCTTTGTATATATTTGTTTGCATGTTGTCTCCCCTATTAGACTGTAAATGCCTTGAGGGCAGAGAATATCTTTTGCCTGTTTTTGTACCCCCAGGGCTTAGTACAGTACAAAGCACATAGGTGCTTAATTTATGTTTATTGATTGATCAGTACAGACTTCCCTGAATCTACAAGTATAATAATTGTAAAATTGGAAAGAAGTCAGTCTGGGATCAATTATTCTTCATTAAGTGATTCTAAATCTTGGTTATCACCAATTTCCTTTCTAATTTTTTACAAACTATTCCTTTACTTAATGAGTTCCAGAATCTTGCCTGGAATTAAATCAAGTTCACTTGCCTGAAGGTTGAAAAAAAAAAAGTTCCACCATTTTTTTAATATCTGAACTGTTTGTTCATATCTTGTCTGGATTAATGACTTTCTGAGAATGTGGCTCAGTAATCATTTTTATTCTGTCTTTCCAGTCTACCATTTCATCTTATGCGCAGAGTTAACATCTACTTCCTAGATGAGCTGATATTTTATTAAAGAAGCCTGGATCCTACATAGGCTGTCTGTACACTAGTCCAGGAACCACAATTTATACCCATATTTTGGAAATGCCTTCAAAGGAAGTTAATGAGTTCTGCTTCTACTTTTTCCAGCCTATAATTCACAGGCAAGTGGGTATGTCATAAAGTAACCAGCATGTTAAGCAATGTTAACACTGCTATATAGCAAAACTGGGCTAACTGAACTTGTGCTGGGATTCATCAAAAACAGTTCCTTATACTGGATGACTGGGACATCTCTGCTCAAATTACTATATGGCTTAATTCCATAGCCTATTTTGGCCAAGTGGAAGAAATATTTTCAGGATGAACTCATGAATGAGTCAGGAATCAGAGAAACTAAGAAAGAGTTAAACCCCTCACCTTAGCTTGTTAATATCCAAGTGACCAGTAGATCTTCCTTTACTTTAAAATACTAGTATTCATGTCATAAATGAAATTATATAAAATTTAGCATAATTATTTACGGGTTGGGATGACCTAGGACCTAGAAGATTCAGCCATTTCCATATTTCATACTAAAACCAATATAACACGATAAACATTTATTAAGCAGCTACTGTGTACTAGGCATTGTGCTAAGCACTGGTGATACAAATAAGAAAAAGAAAGATGATCCTTGCCCTCAAGGAGATCACAATCTAATTGGGAAGACTGTACACAAAAAGAAGCTGAAGGAGGGAGGAACATAAGAGATGGCTGGTATTCTGAGCCCCCTATAAGGAGAAGCTATGAAAGGAATTTTTTTGTTCAGCTCTCCAGTCCTCCAGTCAGAGGGCACCAATGAAGTGTGAGTACCAAAGCTGATGCAATCTCTAATATCCCTTTGGGATCCTCACAACAGCAGCAGGAACAACCATTTCTTGAGCAAGTAAGATCATGGGAAGACCATGCTGTATGTGAACTTTTGGGTAGCATTGAAAGAGTAATGTATCACTCAGTAGATTACAGGGGGTATGGTCTGAACAGATTTTCCCAACCATCAGTCCATTCCAGCTATAGCAACCTTATTCAAATTCTAGCCATAGTAAGTAATCAAGAAGCTCTTTAACCTTCCCTAGCTGTCATAATGATATTGTGGACGATACTGCTAAGCAGTATATTCTGCGGCAAATGTTTCTTGGTCTAGTGACCTTTCATGACCAAAGGCCCTTTTTAAGTGTTTAAAGTTTAAAAATTGATTTCTCTTTTTCCCTATGTTCTACTCCTAATCCCCATGCTATGAACATCTCACAGTTGATAAACTGAGACTGTAGAACATGAATCCATGGTGAGTTTGTTCCACCAAAGGCATTTCAAGGACCTCCATCTACCCATCATGTCAAAGGCAGAGAGGGAAAAGACCAAAGAAATGAGAATACTTTGGCGCGACAAAGAAGGAAGCATTGAGGAGATGGGAGCAGGGAGAAGAAATCATGGAGTGGGAAGAGGCTAAGATGGCCATCTTAACACTAAGAACATGAGTGTTTCTATTTTGGCAAGGACTGCAAATATGCAGGATACATAAGCAACAGGGAACAGACATTGTTGGTATGACAAGGTTACTTGACCTTGAAACTTGTCCCTGCTGAACTCTACCCTCATCAGACCACATTGGTAATGCATTGTTCAAGGGCACCACATTTCAAAAAGGATGGTGACAGTCTGGAATGAAGATATGGGAGGTCAACCAGATTTTTAGGAGCATATGATTAAAACTAAAAGAGACCTCAGAAGTTGTCTAATTGATTCTGCTTATTTTATATATGAGGAAACTGAAGCTCAGAAAATATATGTGATTTGGTCATGGTCTCTCCTTTGACTTTAAAACCAGCACTCTATCCACTTGAACCATAGGGCTTCATATAAGAAAAGTTTTTGACTACTCGCTATGATTAATGATTTTCATTGGCTTCAGTTTCAAGCTATGAGAAATAGGGTCAATAGAAAGTAAAGGCAAACAATATTGATCAACTGTTGAGGATAGGAGCTGAAATAAGGTTGCTGCTGCCAAATTACCCTATAAGGGTGAAGTGAAAAGAAAAGATTCGAAGGACTGTGACAGCTTGAAATACTTAATGGACTCTCCTTCTGGAAAGACTTGTTTTGCTCAACCCCTGGTGGCAGAACCAAGACTAACCAGCTAAATATAAAGGACTTAGATGAGATGAAGGGAAGAGGAAAGAGAAAATAAATGCTTGTTAATTAAAAATAAAAGAACTTCTGATCAAAGTTTGCCAAAAATCGAATGGCTATTTGTTGGGGACATTGAAGTAGGTACAGATTTGATTAGATGACATTTCCAATCTGTGTAGTTTTGAGTCTATAACTGATATAATTATATTGGCCTGGTTATTTTTCATATGACCTGGAGTTTAGTCTTTACCGTATCACATGAAATATTATAGCTATGAAAATATAGTTACATTCACATTGATGCTAACATAAGTTTATAGGCATAATAAGAAATTTTAATAAAAGAAAAAAACATCCTTCCTCCCCCCCCCTAAAAAAAGAGTAGTATATCAAAGAAAATTAAGAAAGACTCATGCTTCAGACAAATGAGGTCTCCCCTTGGTTTTGGAACTAACATGAATTAGACTGATCAGAGTAATAGCTAATCCCTTGCCTGTGTTACAGGTTCCCTCCTGTGACTGATGGCACCTCCTGTGGTGCCAAGGGTATCAGATGAAGAGGGCTGGGATCCTATCCTTATTCTCTGCATGCCTCCCTTTAGGTTGAGAGCTCCTTGAGGGCAGCACTTTTTTTTTTCATTAAAGAGTTCCCTAGTAAGAAGAATCGTACCTTCTCCTTCCTTTGTCCCCTGTGTAACATCTAGTCCAGGGTTCTGATCATAGGGAGGGCTTGGTACATGTTGTCAGATGATTAGCTGATGAAGAAGTGCTGTCTTGATTACAATGTTTCCCAACTTTCATTTTGCAGATAAGAATCCCCTGTCTGATTTCAACAGCTTTCACTGTTGCTACAAGAGCCTTGCTGGATGCCACTTCATCTCTTGGAAAACTGACAGACAAATGGAAGAAGGGAAGAAGTATACAATGGTGAAACATCTTTTGTGACAATCCCTTGCAGAGCAGCTGGATCAGGAAGAGCTTGCAGGGTTAAAGGTGGTCTGTATGGCATTTTTATTCATCCTATGGGATGTGGAACAGCGCCAGATCTTTGTCTTTTGGAAGATGCAGGTGCTTGGATCTTCATAAACTTGAGGAGAGAGTGAGGACAAAAAAGTAGAGAAGATTCATATGAAGGCATTTTTCTACAAGGCAGAATGGAGGTGTAGACAACAGATGATAAATTCTCTTGGGGCTGAAAGGAATATTTTCATCGCCCTAAAGTTTGAACACTCTACAAGTTCTAGCCAAAAGAATGGTTTGGGGGAATTGGACAATAGTCAGTGAATTTGTCCTTGTTAGCTTCTCTGCTCTGCCCCCTGAGCTACAGATTCTGCTGTTTCTGTTGTTTCTGATCATTTATTTTGTCACTTTTACGGGCAACGTCCTTATCATCCTGGTCACTACAGTTGATTCAGCCCTACATAGCCCCATGTATTTCTTCCTCAAGAACCTGTCCTTCCTGGAAATTAGTTTCAACATGGTCATTGTCCCCAAGATGCTAACTACCCTGATGACCAAAGACACAACTATCTCTTTTCTTGGCTGTGCAACTCAAATGTATTTTTTCTTCTTCTTTGGGGCTGCTGAGTGCTGCCTCCTTGCTACCATGGCCTATGACCGCTACGTAGCTATCTGTGACTCTTTGCGTTACCCAGTCCTCATGGACCAGAAAGCCTGTGTCCAGTTGGCTGCTGCCTCTTGGTTCTCCGGGTTTCCTGTGGCCACAGTACAAACAACATGGATTTTCAGTTTCCCATTTTGTGGTCCAAATAGATTGAATCACTTTTTCTGTGACAGCCCTCCTGTAATTGCGCTAGTCTGTGCTGACACCTCCCTATTTGAGCTGGAGGCACTGACAGCCACAGTCTTATTTATCCTCTTTCCTTTCCTGCTGATCCTGGGGTCCTATGTGCAAATCCTCTCCACCATCTTCAGGATGCCCTCAGCAGAGGGAAAGCACAAGGCTTTCTCTACTTGCTCTTCCCATCTGGTTGTTGTCTCCCTCTTTTACAGTACTGCTATTCTCACCTATTTCCGGCCCCGATCCAATACCTCACCTGAGAATAAGAAGCTACTCTCACTGTTCTACACAGTAGTGACTCCTATGTTGAACCCTATAATCTACAGCCTGAGGAACAATGAAGTAAAAGCTGCACTCCAGAGAACCCTCCGAAAGGCTCTCAGGTCCCAGAAATTATGACTAATTTTGCTGGAAACAGAATTGAGTAGGGATAGAATTAAAGGACAGAAGTAAAAAGGCAGCATGGTGAAGGAGATAAAGAGCTGAACTTGGAGTCAAGAAGATCTGGATTCAAATTCTACCCCTGATACTTATCTGTGTGCAAACCACTTGAGCTCCTTGTGCCTCAATTTTCCCATCTCTAAAATGGGGATACTAATACCTGTAGTACCTGTCACCCATGTTTGTTGTGAGACTCAAATGAGATAATCCATGTAAAACACTTACGCCAAATGTTAAAAATGCAATTAAAACAACTCTGAAATTTCACCTCAAATTTCACTTTAAAGTGGCAAAGATGACAAAAGAGGTTCAGTTTTAGTCAGTGTTGGAAGGGCTATAGGAATACAGTTACATTTTTTAGTGGATCCATGAATTGGTCCAAACATTCTGGAAAACAATTTGAAATTTTTTTTTTAAAGTGACAAAATTGTTCATATCCTTTGAGCTAAAAATCCCACTGCTAGGCAAAGACAGAATGAATGCTTCCATCCAAACTGTAATATTCCTAACAGCACTTTTCTGTGGCAGCAAAGACCTAGAAACAAAGTTAGGTTCCATTTATGGGGGAATGGCTAAACAAAACATGGTTTATGAATGTAATAGGATATTAAAACACTATCATATTCTTTGTGATAACCTCTGAACATGAAGGATTCAAATAAACATGGGAAGACTTAAATGAACTGATAGTGAAGTAGGCAGAAACAGACAACAATAAAGTACAATAACAACAAAAATTGATCACTGAAATATTATAATGACCAGAATTGTCCCAAGAGGAGAGCTGCATCTCTCTTTCTTCAGTGCATAGGTGCGAGACCATGAAATATAGAATATACTTTCAGACACACCATTGATATGCTTGTCAGTTTTGCTAAATTGCTTTTTTTCTTTGTTTTATAAACTTTGTTACAAAGGATGGCTTGCTGTATAAGGAAGGGGTGAGAAATATATAAAGAAGTGAATGAATTAGAAAAACAAAGGGTATCAGAAAAGATGAAATAATTTATCTTTTTAAATTATCATAGGTCCCAGAAAAAAAATAAAACACGTGAGAAATAATAAAGCTTGTATACTATAGGTCACACAACTGAACCCCATAATAGTCTTCTCTTTTGAGCTTTGGAGATAGTGGCTTCTATTTTTGACCTATAAGCACTGAACTCACCTAGCTTTACAATGGAAAGGGTGAACAATTATGTATAGGGGGAGGGGAGAGGGAGAGAGAGAGAGACAGCGTTGTAGAGTTAGTCTTCCACTTGACAGGAAAAGGTATAAACCCAAACTCAGTCCTCTCAACAGGAAAAGACCTTCATTCCTCAACACAAAAATGGCTTTCAATACATTATCCCTGGTGGTATGAATAGAAGAAAAACTACATCAGTGGTCAAGGGAGGTACTAAACAGTGAAAAAATCTGATACAATGCTAATCCATCATAAGAAAATATATTAATCTGAAAAAAATAGTATTAGAGGCAAATGGAGAAAAATACAAACTTAACTCTCATAATTTTAAAAGTAAATAGAATTAAATAATTTAATTAAAAGAAAAAGTAACAGATTGAATTTTTAAAAAATGATCTGTTGCCTATAAGAAACATATTTTAAAAAACAAACATATAGAAAGAATAAAAATGAGGTCCAGAAAAAAATTTATTATTCAGCAATTGAATTTTTAAACATAGAATTGCAAGCATTCTATCAGACAAAGCAAAAACAAACACTCAAAACATAGAAAGGGGTAAACAAGGAAATTTCATTATGCTGAAAAGAACCATAAACAACATGCCAATATCAATATTAAACTTATATCCTCCAAATGTCTTGGCATCCATTCATAAAAGAAACTAAAATTAACTGAGCTGCAAAAAGATATACACAGTAACACAATAGTGGCAGCAAATTTCAATGTCCCTCTTTCAGTTTTGCACAAGCCAAACACAAAGATAAACAAAGCAGAAAATTTGTAACTGAACAAACTGCTAGAAAAACTAAAGCTAAAAGATTTACGGCATCTCCTAAATATAATTGCTAAAGAATATATTTCTTTCTTAGCACCATATAGAGCTTCTACAATAATTAACCATGTATTAGGGCAGAAAGATATTATAAACAAATGCAAAAAGGCAGAAATAACAAATATATTTAAATATCATAACACAAGAACACTTAACTATAGCACAAACAAAAGATGCAGACTCAAGTGGAGACTTACCAATGAAATCCTAAATAATGAGTGGGTCAAAGAAAAATATTTGAAACAACAATTATGTGAAAGAAAATGATGATAAAACAAAATATCAAAATTTCTGGTATGTAGCTAAAGCAATTCTTTGGGGAGAAGGGGAATCATGTCTTTCTAAATATGCATTAACAAAATAGAAAAAGAAAGGATTAACAAAAAAAAAAACACCAAAAAAAAGATATTAAAAAGTAACGCAAAAGTAAAGAGGAAACAAATGAAAACAATAGAAATGATAAATAATTGAAAACTGGTTCTTTGAAAAAGCTAGTAAAATTGATAAACTTTTAGTCAATCTGATTAAAAACAAGAGGGTAGAAAATCAAATTAACAAAATAGTAAGTGAGCAAGGTGAAATCACACTAAAACCAAAAGAAAATTTAAATGTAAACCCAACCTAATATGCTAGTTATATGCTAACAAAACTGAGAACAAAAAAGAAATAGAGGAAAACCTTTTTAAAAATTCAAACATTCAAATAAAAGGGGCAGCTACATAGTGCACTGGGCTTGCAGCCAGGAAGACTTGAGTTCAGATCCAGACTCAGACACTTCTAGCTGTGTGCCCTTGAGCAAATCATTTAACCTCTATTTGCTTAATGGATCACTAACAAAAAGTTGATGCACTGCAGAAGGAAATGGAAAACTACTCCAGTATCTTTGCCAAGAAAATCCCGTGGACAAATGTCCATGTGGTCACAAACAGTAATGTGGGATGGAATGACTGAACAACAAAAACAAAAAACAAAAGACCAAAGATAGATCTTAAATAAAGAAAATAGAGCTAGCTGTATAGGAATTACCTAAGAGGGAAAAAGGGGGGAAGCCCTGATCCTGATGGATTCACAGGAGAATTCTATCAAACTTTTAAAGAATAATTTGTACCAATATTAATTTTTTCTTTAAAAATTGGGAAAGAAAGCACCCTACCAGATCACTTTTATGAGATAATTGTAGTCTTAATCCCTAAACCCAGAGAATCATATAGCACAAAAAGGAACTATATACAAATATTGTTAATGAATGTCAATTCTAAAATGTTAGATAAAATCCTAGGAAAGACTACAAAGATGCATCCAAGAAATCATTTATTATGGCCAAGTTGGTTTATATCGAGGATGAAAAGATAATTCACTATGAGGAAAACAATTAATATAATCAATCATATTAAAAACAAAAACATTCAAAACTATATAATTATCTCAATGGATGTGTAAAATCCCTTTGACAAAACATAATATTTATGCCAAAAAACCACTGCAATGTATAGGTATAAATGAATTTCTTTTATCATCATAAAAAGTATCTATTTTAAAACAAAAGCAAGTATCATAAGCAACCACAATATATTAGAACCTTTCCCAATAAATATGACCTTAGAGCAAGGATGTTCACTCTTCCTACTATTATTTGACATAGTTTTGGAAATACTAGCAATATCAGTAAGACAGGACAAAGAAATTAAGTGCATAAAGGTAAGTTAAAAGGAGATAAAACAATCCTTATTTGCTAATGATATTTAATGATTTACTTAGAAAATGCTAGGTAATCAGCAAAGATAGGAATTGATACAATAGCTTCAACAAAGCTGCAGGCTACAGAATAAACCCTCAAAAACCAAAAGAATATATAATAATAAAATTCAAGGAACAATGATTCAAAGGAAAGTCATATTCCAAATAACTCCAAAATAAATGAAGTATCTGTGGATCAAACTACCAAAGCACATTTAAAACACTTACATAGATTCAGTTACAGAGTACAAAGTACAAATAGCTGGAGGATTATTCAATGTTCATGGATGGCTTGTGCCAACATAATAAAATTGGCAATACTACCAAAATTAATTTATAGTTTTAATGCTAGAAAATCAAATTATCAAAGGCATACTTTATAGAACTCAATAAAATAATAAATTCATTTGGAAAAATAAAAAGTTAGAAGATCAAGGGAAATAATGAAAAGAGGTAGGAACAATGGAGGAATAACACTTCCAAGAACTCAAACTATATTATAAAGCAGCGGTCAAAAAAACTGTCTGGTATTGATAATGTGTGTGTATGTGTATCAGTGGATCTATGGAACAAACTAGACAAGGGTAGGGAGGAAGGGATTAGAAGAAAAGTGGAACTCAATATTCTAGTCTTTCATACTAGAAAACCTAAGTTACCAGGAAAACACTCCATTAAAACTGCTGGAAAAATCTGAATGTAATGTCAGAAATTAGTCTTAGATCAACATATCATTCCATATTCCATAATACATTCAAAATGAATATATGATCTTAAATATTAAAGATCAGATTATTAAAAAATTAGAAGAGAGGAAGATGATATATCTCTCACAGCAGTGGTGCAAGATGTATTCTTAATAAACAACTGTTAGAAACAAAAACAAAAGATAAAATAGATAATGTAGATTATACGAAACTGAGAAACGTCTACCCAAACAAAACTGAGGTACTGAGAATAAGAAGAGAAGCAATCAAATGGAAAAACAAAATTAATATCCAACTTCTCTGAAAAGAGTTTGGTATCCAAGATACATAAACATTTAACATATGTGTGTGTATATGTGAGTATGAATGTGTATGTGTTTGTGTGTGTGTATATACATGTATATATATATATATATATATATAAAACTATAAGCCATTGTCTAATAGATAAGCAAAGAATATGCACAGTTCTCAAAAGAATAGCAATCTACTAGCAACCGCAAGAAAAAATGTTCCAAATCACTAATAATAAGAATAATCAAAACAACTATGAGGTTTTACCTAATACCCTACAGCTTGGCAAACCTAACAAAAAGATAGGACTAGGCAATGTTGGAGGGCTTATGGGAAGATAAGCACACCGGTGATTTGGAATTATGCAAATAAAATTACTAAAATGTCTATTTTTTTTAACTAGAAAGTCTATTACTAGGCATAAACTTCAAGGAACCCAATAAGAAAAAGAAAGTCTCCAAATATACCAAAATATTTATAGGGGCACTTTTTGTGATAGCCAAGAATTAGAAACAAACTTGATGCCCATAAACTGGGGAATGGCTTAACAAATTATGAACATGAATGTACCTGGCTCCTTCCTATCCTTGAGGTGATAGGGAGTCACTGGAGATTATTGAAGAGGAGAATGACATGGTCAGATCTGTGCTTGAGGAACATTACTTTGGCAAATGTGTAGAGGATAAATTGGAGTGGGACAAGACTTGAAACTTGAAAAAAAGTAATGGCTACATGAGTTACAGAGAAGGAACAAGATGAGAGAAATGTTACACAGGTAGAAACTGTAACATTTGGCAAGTGATTGTAAATATGGGGGTGAGAGAGTAAAGAATTAAGGATAATGTTGAGTTTACAAACCTAGGAGACTGGAAGAATGATGATGTCAGACAGAAATAGGAAAGTTTGGAAGAATGATGGCTCGGGTAACATCACAAGGTTAATGTCTTGATTTGCCCAAGAAATGGATTTAAATGAAGCAGGGTACAAAGTTGTCAGTCTCCTTCTCCTCTAGAGTCATCAGAGTCCAGCGGCAGGACAAAAGTCAAGACAAATAGCAATGGCCCACAATGCAGTGAGTGACTTTGGCTTTTCTAAATTAAGATCTTTCCCAGGTTTCAGTTTATTTGAGGTAACATGCATTCAATGACTAAAAGCTAGGTAAGAATTGAGACAAAAGATGGCTCAACTTACCATCACAAAAATATCAATCTGGGAGGGGAACACCCTTGGAGTTTCTGGGCCTAACAGAAAACAAATGCTATTTACATTCATTTTAAGACCTAAACCATGGGCCACTAGGCTTGGGCTGGGGAATATTATTGGTCATTCTATGAAAGCCAGAGGGATTTGGGTTTAAAAATGTTAAATTTCAAGTCTCTACTCTAGGCCTGGGGTGCTCCTTTTATTTACTTTTCTCTTCAAATAAATCTGTTTATTCCAAATTTTTGTTTCCTGCACAATACAATGAAATAAATATCTGGCACTGTGCTAACTGGGAATACAAATAAGAAGATAGCCCTTACCCTCAAGGAGTGTACAATTTAACAGAAAAGACAATATACAAAAGGAAGCTGAAAGGGGGAGAGGCTTGATGATGATGGTGGAGTTGAAACCAACTGAACAGCCAGAGGCTTTGGGAGGAAATTTTTGTTCCTCCCTCCAATCAGAGGAGCAGAAGCAACTAAGGGTAATGTATTTATTATGCCAGTTCCCTAAAAGTCCCCCACCTCCAAAATAAAGTATCTTCTCTCCTAAATTAATGCCTCACTGCCCTTAAAAGAAAATTTTTTTTTAAAACCCACCTTGTCAAAACTCTTTGAAAAGTCTATATAAGGTATATTTCATGGGTCCTCTCACACACCTAAAAGACTTTCGGAAAACTAATCAATTTCTCCTTACAGAGAGACCCTATTAGATCTGACACATCCAGGTTTCTGTTTTAACTGAAGTCCTAACTCAAGTCCGTCCAACTCCGAACCTGGCTAACCGCCCCCTTTTAAACTTGGCCCCGCCCCAATGGCTTCTTACAACGCTAGCCCCGCCCTTCTCTGGTTCCTTCTAGGGTATTGGTTCCCTGGGCCCCGCCTCCTGATGGCCCGCCTCTTTCCCCAGTTCAAATTCTAGAGGATCCGGGCTCCCACTAGTAACACTGTAAGAAATAAATAAATAAACCATTCTCTGGGTCCTGGCCCAGAGAACCGGAAAGGGTGTGTTGCAGCCACTGCCATGGAAACATGCCGTGATATATGACAGGATGGTAAAGAGGGACCAGGACCTATCCTTGTCGAAAGGTCGCTCACTACCTAGAAGACAGAGCAGGGTTTAGTTTTTTGGCTTCCATGTACTCTCGGTACAGAGTTCGGACGGGTCTCCCGCGTGCAGGGAAAGGGTTCAAGAATTCGGCCATGCGAACCCGCAAGACCTGTGGAAAACGAATGAGCGGAACCTGCTTTAAAAAAAAAACTGAAGCGGTGCATTCTGGGTGTGGTAGTCCTGACGTTCCCAGGGCGCGGGCCCCGCCCCGATTCCTAGGTGGCTAAAGAAGGCGCGCAGCCTCGACGCGGAGATTGGTTCTTTGGCCCGGAATCAGTTCTTTATCTGAGGTCAGGTCAGTCCTGGAGCCCAATTTCAGTTATTTGGTCACCGGAACCCATTTCCTCACTGCACCCTGAACCCTAACGGGGCCGATTCGGGAAGGGACTAAGGGCCGGGAGGCTAGCACGCCATCAGGGCTATTGTTGGGCATGCGTATGTTACACGTAGAAAGACAAGAGCTCTCCTGTGTGTGTTTGTGTAAAGGAGTTCAGAAGATTCCCCTGGTTCTGTGTCAGCAATAACTATTAATAATCTACTCTGTGTACGTCACTGTGGTAGACATTGGGGATTCAAAGATCCCCAATAAAACATGGACCTCCCTCCCCATCATTAGGGAAGAAAAGACATGTATCCACGAAGCTCTTACATGAAGGATTAATTGGATAGGTGCGATGGAAAGGTTCAGGCTGCGTGCCATGTTAAATTTGAGGACGGAGAGATTACAAACAGTTGGACATGTTGGGTGAGTCCAGGATGGCATCCCTGCAGTGCCTTGAAGGAAAAGAGGGGCTTCAGTAAGTGAAGTTGGGGGTTAGGAGTTCAATCCAGGTCCAGACTTTGATTGTAGTATTAGTAAATGCTCAGGGAAGGGAAGGGCAATCTAAGAAAAGGATTGGGGAATGGTCTAGTATTGTTCAAATGTAGAGCATGTCATTTCCATTCCAATGCTGTCATATGAATTACAGCTAGAAAGCTTTAATGAAGCCAATTTGTGAAGTGTTATAATGGCAGGGTAAGATGTATATATATTGACTGCTCAGCATTTTATGCTGTCCCCTACCATTATTCTGGATCTTAAACTCTTCAAGGTTAGAGACTTTGTTTTATTCATCCTTCTATCCTATACAGCAGCTGGCACAAGGAGTTGAAAATAGTAGGTATCCCTTACCAGTTTCCTAAACAAATAAAAATCTTTAGGGCTTAACCTATGACCAAGTCTGCTAGATCCCTTTTGCTGACTCCATCTTCTCTTTGTTCCCTTCAGTCCTGCAGCAGTTCTACAGATGTCCAGGCTTGGCACTAGAAGTAGGGTTCCCTACTGAGATCTGAACACCAGAATGAAGTGACGTTACATCTGAACTTTTAGGCCTTGGAGACTTGGAATCTCTATCCCAAATGGAGAAGCCCGGACCTGAAACTTTCGGCCAAAGTGTCAGAGCAGAACCTAGAACAAGGAGCATGTCCTGTTGTATCTGTTGCCAGAACAATTCCTGACCATCCTGCCTGGGTAATACAGTACTGGGGTGACTTTGGAATATTGAGAACCCAGTGAGGAGTGGGTGACTTTGAAGAATTTGATCTAAATACTTGAGGAGAAAGGTGAGTATTACAGAGAAGAAGGAAAGGACAATACCTGGTACCAATTGCCAGAACCTTACCCCTATAGAAAATATTACATTTTTTTCCATGTGGAATTACCTCTTCTCTTAGAATACTTGCCCAGTAAATGAAGTAACAAATTCATGGTGGAGGCTGAAGTAGACCTAGCCCTACATTTCTCACTCTACATTCTTTATGGAGTTGAAGGTGTGATATTCTAATGAATTGTAATTTAGTCTTCCTCCCCTAATGCAGGCTGGGAAAGAATGGGAATTTGTAAGATTGTGAATACAGATAGGAAATTATACAACAGAATGCTTTGGCTTTCACTGATGCTGTACATGGAGTGGGCTTCCCATTAATAAAAAATTTCAGAACTACACCTTGAGTGATCACAGTTGTCTTTGGAGGTGATCTTTCATTTCACGGGTAGACAGTAGATGTAACACCTAGACCCTAATAGCATAAAAAAATAGAGTCTGAGACCCAGACAGTGATGTCAGTGGACCTTCATTTCTATCCAAGATGGAGATGGAATTTAGACTTTCTTTTGATCTCCGTATTCCTTCAAAAAGTGTTCAGTGTTGTCAATGGAGCATCACACCCAAATCTTCTGTAAGAATTTCTAGCATAGTAAGAGAGCACCACAAGACAAGAGGCTATCTCTCATGGCTTCTTTCTTTTCCCTAGCTTTGCATTCTCAAGACTTGGCCCTTCCCCAACAGGAGAACACTGAGCAGGAAAGAATGAACTCTGGGCTGCTGACTGCCAGATCCCAGGTAAGTTGGGCTTTCTCTCTCCTGAAATGCTATATCTCTAGTTTCAAAGAGTAAAAACGTTTCTTTCCTTTGTCCTCAAGCTATTCTGCCTAACCAAGTCCTGTTAAGGAACTTGAGCCCCAATTGTTTGACCCCAATGGACTGGAAGTGTTCCCAGTTTGTCTGGTGTCATTCTTCAGCAACCTTTTCCTCCTGTGCTTACCATCCAACCATTCAGCAGGTTGTTCAGTCTTACTATATTCTGTGAACAAAACAAAGTAGAAGACATAATCTTTGTCCTTAAAGGCCTTATGGGCTCATTGGAAAGATAGTCACATGAAATCAAATACTTATTTTTAATACACTTGAAAAAGTTAAATGATCCAAGTATGCATATAAGTCAGGGCCAAGGTAAAGGTAGGATGAAGAGATTTTCTGAGAGAAGTGAGACTAGAACTGAACTTGATGGATAAGATTTAGATAGTTATAGGGTGTCACAGACAAAAGATTAGAGCTGAAATATCATCTGTAAGAAGTACTGAAGAAGGGGCAGCTAGGTGGCACAGTGGATAGAGTACTGGCCCTAGATTCAGGAGGACTTGAGTTCAAATCCAGCCCTGGACACGTAACACTTACTAGCTGTGTGACCCTGGACAAGTCACTTAACTCCATTGCCTAGCTCCAAAAAAAAAAAAAGTACTGAAGAAGACTAGCTTCACTGCAGTGAAGGGTAGGAAATGGGGGGAAACAAGTTGGCTCTATAATAAGAGCCATATTGTAGTGGACCTCGAATACCAGATTGTGGAATTTGGAATTTTTCCTGACAAAGAAAAGCATTTGTTAAGAGGAGCTGTGATGATATATTGGAAGAGAAAACTATTTTTAAAAAAAAAGAATTTATTCAGTAAAGGTTATGAAAGATGGGAAAGAGTCAAAGTTAAGTCCAAATCTTCTACACTGGTCAACTGACAGAATGAGGATCTTGGTAGTAAAGATGGATATGACTGTTTAAAGTTGGTGTTACAGTACATAAATAGTGATCGAAACATGGCATATGTGAAAAAGTTTTCACCAAAAGAAGTCTTTGTGCTGTGCTTGTTCTGGGGAATCCTGTCTAATTTACTGTCTAATAGGATGGCTGGGTCTAGAGGCACCATTCATAGAAGCTTGAGTTTGGAATTGATTGGTATTTTCTTTGAATCTTCTGATTTATACATTTTTTGACAAGAAAATCAAATGCTTGGGTAATTTATGCCAGGGAAGCTTAAGTATTCAATATGACCTTTTGTGGCTTTTTCGTCCATAATAAGCCAAATATCATGGTACTTGCCTAATTAGTTTAACTGTCATAGGGCACCTTTCACATTTATGTGTCATTGTCATAAAATCATATTACTCAGAGGAGCTAGTATCTTTTGGCTTTGGGAGAAAGCAAGATTTGTAGTTCATTGTATTTCCTAAGATAGCCTAGGGAACTTCACTGTAATATATCCTGCTCAGTGATTCATAATTCATGAATGAATATTCCATGAAAATGGTGTTCAGCATTAAGCTAGTGAATATCTTTTCATAATCAGCTGCAATGAATTTAAAACAAACCCAAAAATTCAATGGAGATTTCTATAGTTATATATCTAGAAAATGGGACAATAGAATTATGTGAAAGTATCACATTCTTGTGAAATTTTTTGCATAAAAGTAATCTTAAATTTCCTCTTTCTGCTCCAAATTTTCTCCTATCCCTTTTGTCCTGAGATTTTTCCATGCTTTCATACCCACAAAATTAGACCTGTACTTATCAGTTTCATAATATATTTCAGATACAAATGTGTTCACTGGCAAAATTAGCTTTGGAAAACACTGACCTGTAGGCATTCAGCAATTAATATTGGAATAACAAGGTGTTGTTACATTTGAGAATAATGCGGTAGAAAGAGTACTGAATTTGCATCTAAAGATTTGGGTTCAAATCCTAGCTATCCTGCTTACTCCCTGTGTGACCTTGGCTAAGTTATTTAATGTATTTCTCATTTGTAGAATGGGGAAGTTGAACTAGGTGACCATTAAGACCCCTTCCAGGTATAAATCTGTGACCCTATGTTCAAAAGAGGCAATTTTTATATTATTTTAAATACATATTTGTTTGTGTATACATACTCGTTATGTATATATGTATAATCAGTCAACAAGTATTTATTAAGTGCTTGTGCTAGGCATGGGACTACACATAAAAAATAATAAGTAGTCCCTGCCCTCATGGAGCTTACATTCTATCATGGGAAACATGATATATAAGGATATATAAGCAATATACAAGATAACTTTGAAGAGGAAAACACTATCAGCTGAGAGGTGGGGAGGCTGGGATTTGTCCATTTTTGTTTTCATCTGTCGTAATTCAATTCAGTATAAATGTATTATTAACCACTTGCAATATAAGGGCCTTTTGCCAGGTCCTGGGGATACAAAGACAAAAACTGAACAGTCCCTAATCTCAATAAGTTTATAGTCTAAGGTGAGAGTGGGAGGGGAGGAGAGGGAAACTATCATACGTACATAGCTAAGTAAATACAAATTGTATGCAAAGAAGTACATCTAATTTTGTAATGAGACGGTAACTAACACCTAGGGAGTAGGGAGCCTTAAGAAAGGCCTCATGTAGGAGGAAGCATATGAGCTGTCTTAAAAGGGAGTTGGGATTGCAAGAGGTAGAGATGAGGAGGAGGAGAGCATTCCAGGAATGGGAGAGTTTGCAAAGTCATGGAATTGGGAGATGAGGTAGTATTCAGGGAATGATGAGTAAACCAGTTTGGCTGGAACATAGACTTGATGAAGGAGAGTACTGTGAAGTAAATGGAAAGATAGATTGAAGTCAGATTTTGAAGGGCTTTAAAGGACAAAAGATTTCCTAGTTTATCCTAGTGGCAATAGAGAATCACTGAAGATTCTTGAATGTGGGGGAATAGCTCCAGTTCTTTAGGCATATGCATTTGCTTTGGCATACATATTTGGCAGCAGTATGGAGCATGGTTAGGGATGGGAGAGTGAGGAGAAGAGGAAGAAAGAAGTTGTGGAGTTACATAACTTTTTGGATGTAGGGAGAGAAGAGATATTGAAGAGTTAAAGCTTGTGCTAAGGTTCTGAATCTAGGTGGCTAGAAGAATAATAGTGCCCCTGACAGCAACTGGGATGTTTGGAGGAAGAGTAAGTTTAGGGATAGGGAATGAGTTCACTTTTGTACATACTGAGTTTGAGATACCTTTATCCAAAAGGAGATGTCTAGGCAGTTGGTGATGCAGACTTGGGATCACAAGAAAAGTGATGGCTAGTTAATTATGTAGACTTTTGAAAGGGCTTCAGAGGTCATCGAGTCCTCTACAAATTCTTAATAAGTGGTCATATGTAGAGGGTGATTTTACATATGTATGTCTAATGGTAGCCATCTGGGGGGGGCGCACAGGGGGAGAGGAAGGGAGAAGGAAAAAAAAGGAAAAAAAATTTCCAACTTTATATATTTAAAAGGAATAGCAAGTTGTACATAACAGATTTGCAGTTTCATGTGCAATCACCTTTTTAAAATTATGCTGTTACAGAAATGCTTGTTTTATTACATAAATTAAAAATAAAATAATTAAAATTAACCAAAAAAACCGGTTATCCAGCCATTGCCCAAAGACCTTTAATAAAAGGGAACCTGTTGACCCCTAAGGCAGTTCATTCTACTTTTGGACATTTTAAATTCATAGTATTTTCTTACATCAAGCTGAAATTTGCCTCTTTGCAAGTTCTACTTTTTATTCCTGGTTCTGACCTTTAGACCCAGGAAAAATAAGTCCTTTTTATGTATGGCAATCTTATAAATATATGAAGGCAGCTATCATGCCTCTATCAAATTCTCTCATTTTAAATCTACAGAACCCAGTTCCTTCCATGGATCCTTATATCACATAATCTTAAGGCCCTCTACCTTCTTGTTTGCTCTTCTCTAAACAATCTCCAGCCTTAGTGGTGACCCTTCCTAAAATGGGCTGTCCAAAACTGAATACAGTATTCCAGATATGTTCTGGCTGGAGCAAAGGACAGCAGAACTGCCATCTGCCTCCTTCTAGATATGACACATTGACCACAGCAGAAATCAGCAAAATTATCTTCAGCCTAGACCTAGATACAACACATCTCTTCCTCTCCCCCCACCTTTTTTTAATATAGTTTATTTTTCCCCCCAATTACATGTTAAAACAGTTTTTAACATGTTTTTAAAGTTTTGAGTTGCAAATTCTATTCCTCACTCCCCTCCCCACCCCAAACAGCAAACAGTCTGATATTGGTTATACATGTGCAATCATGTAAAATATCCATATTAGTCATTTTGTACAAGAAAACTGAAAGAAAGGAAGAAAGAAAGACAGCATGCTTCTGTCTATATTCAGACAGTATCAGTTCTTTCTCTGAGGGCAGATAGCATGCTTTGTCATGAGTCCTTTGGGGTTGTCTGAGATCATTGTATTTCTGAGAATAGCTAAGTCATTAACAGTTCTTCATACAGTGTTGCTGTCACTCTATACAATGTTCTCCTGGTTCTGCTCACTTCATTTTGCATTAGTTCATGTAAATCTTTCCAGGTTTTTCTGAAGTCATCATGCTTGTAATTTCTTATAGCACAATAATATTCCATCACAATCATATAACATAATTTTTTCAGCCATTCCTTAACTGATAGGAATCCTTTCGATTTCAATTCTTAGCCACCACAAAATGAGCTGCTATAAATATATTTGTACATATAGGTCCTTTTCCCTTTTTTTAATGTCTTTGGGATATAGACCTAGCAGTGGTATTGCTGTATGCAAAACTGTATACACAGTTTTATAGCCCTTTGGGCATAGTTTCAAATTGCTCTCCAAAATGGTTAGATCAGTTCACAGCTCCACCAACAATGCATTAATGTTCCAGTTTTCCCACATCACATTCAGCACTTATCATTTTCCTTTTATGTCATATTAGCCAATCTGATAGGTGTGAGGTAGTACCTCAGAGTTGTTTTAATTTGCATTTCCCTAATCAATAGTGATTTAGAGCATTTTTTCATATAATTATAGATAGCTTTGATTTCGTTGTTGAAAACTGCCTGTTCATATCCTTTGAGCACAATTTTATTTTTATAAATGTGACTCAGCTCTCTATGTATTTGAGAAATGAGGCCTTTATCAGAGATATTTGTTGCAAAAATTTTTTCCAAGTTTTTTTCTTTCCTTTTAATTTGGGTTGCATTGGTTTCTTTTATGCAAAAACTTTTTAATTTTATATAATTAAAATTATCTATTTTACATTTTACAATGCTCTTTATAGTTTCTTTGGCCCTAAATTCTTCCATTATCCATAATGATACAAGACATTTCAGTGCAGCTTAAAGTCCCATTACATTTTTTGGCACCATATCACACTGTTAATTCATATTGAACTTGTAGTCCACAAACCCCTCCAGATATGTTTCAAACAAGGCAGTTATCCAGCTATGCCTCTCACATCTTGTGATTGTGACTTTTTTGTTTTTAAGTCACTGATAAAAATGGTAAACAGCACAAGGCCAAGGACAAACCCTTGAGACCCTCCACTAGAGACCTTCCAAGTCATCATGTACCCATCAATGAAAATCTTGGATCCAACCTAAAGATATAGCATCCCTTTAATCTACCAGTTTAGAAACACAATTACAAAGGGAAATTTGGTTAGTTTGGAATGAATTATTCTTGATAAAGCCATATTATACTGACTATTTTGGTGTGATCACTGTTTTCTTTTCTAAATATTTACAACTATCTCTTTAATAATGTACTAGAATTTTGTCAAGAGTTAAATTCAAGATCCCTGGCCTGAAGTTACATACTCCACTTTCTCCCCTTTTTCAAAAATCAAAACAACATTTTTGCTTATGAACTCTGTGACACCTTACCACTGTTTAAAAGATCATGAACTGCCCCTCAGTTACCACATCTGTTGTTTCCTTTAGAATTTGGGAATGTTATTTGTCTAGGTCTAGTGACTTGACCTCATCAAGGGCAGCTAATTATCTATCTTGTTGTATTGGGTTTCAACTATCTTTAAGTATTTTTGTACTGTCTTGTCCAGTCCAAAGACTTTTCTTGGCAGAGAAAACAAAAGCAGTATAAGAGTTGAGTAATTCTACTTTCTATCCATTATTGTCATGCCATCCACCTGAAGCTGAGATCCCATGCCTTCTTTGAACATGCTATTTTCAACAATATAGCCAAAGAGTCCTTCTTATTGTCCTTGGAATTCCTCAATAGTCGCAGTTTATTCTGTATTATAGCATTCCTAACACAGTTGTCAGAGAACAATGACATACTTTTGTATTTGTCTTCAATTTTGTACTTTTTTCCTTTTTTTTTAATACATTTCTTTTTTATGTTTAAATTGGCCAATGAGTTGCTTTGCATTCACATTGGACTTTTTCTAAAAATAGCTCTCCCTCCTTATCAGAATTGTTTCTGTTCATATCGTCAGAATTTTATTCTAAAAAGATTTCCATGCTTCACTGGGATTGTTTGGGATTAACTACACAGAATGGCTCTGGCACAGAATTTGCCATGAGACCCTGTACAGTTACTGATTTCCAGGAATCCACAACACCTCTTTCCTCAGTGGTCTATCCTCCTAAATCTTTTAACTGCTAAATTCAGTAGCCTTTCCTCAGTCCACATTTTATTTGACCCTCTTCTCTCCTGGTTCTCCTGCCTGTTTGACTGCTCCTTCTTAGTATCTTTTACTGGACCATGATCCATATGACCTGCCCCCTCAATGTGGCTGTTTTTCAGAGCTCTGCCTTTTGTTTTTTTCCTCTCTTTCTATACATACTCTCTTGGAGATCTTATCTATTGTCTTGGGAATAAGTACCATCTCTACATTGTTTTGGTTTATGGTTTGTCCTTCATTCTGAAAGAGGACCATGACATTAGGAAGATGATGCCATGACTTGCAATTGAATTGGATTTGAGTGAGGGAGGGCTGTGCAAAGTCATCAGCCTCACTTTCTCCTCCAGAGCCATCTGGGTCCAGTAGCCAGATATAGATCAGGACAACTGGAGATGGCCCAGGATGCAGTAGGAGACCTTGGCCAATCTCCAAACTTATTTAATGACTTCAATGCCTAGCTCAGTCTTCCTCTCCACTCTATCCTCTGCCATCACAATCACTTTCACATGCCTTTGTTGTTACTGAGTTGTTTTGGTCATGTCCAACTCTCCACAATCCCATTTGGTATTTTTCTTGGCAAAAATACTAGAGTGTTTTGACATTTCTTTCTCCAACTCATTTTACAGATTAGGAACTGAGGCAAACAAAGTTAAGTGACTTGCCTAGGGTCACACAGCTAGTCAGTGTCTGAGGTCAGATTTGAATTCAGGTCATCCACTGTGCCATCTAGCTGCCCTTTGAGATGCATACAGAACAATGTATCAAGAAATAGGCAGTTGATGGCGGAGGTAGGGTTCAGGAAATTCAGATGGAGTTAGGGAGGAGATTAGAGTTGGATATATAGATTTGGGAATCTCTGTGTAGAGACCAAAGAAAATAGAGAGAGCATTACAAAATGTAAAATAGGTAATTTTGATTAGCTACCTTCAAACAATTGTAGGACTGTTACATAAAATGTGAATGTGACTTACTCATTTTGTTTCAGATGGAAGAACTACAAACAGTGAGTAGGAATTATAAGGAGTCAGGCTGCAGCTCAATAGAAGCAAGACCCTAACGTGCATGAAAATGGATGGGGCAGCTTTTGAAGGAGTGACTCCTTTAATGTGTTCACATTGAGATTAGATGATTTCATATCATCGGAGGTCAGAGGGGTTGTAGAGCATAAATAATCATCCATTAGAAGGGTGGTTTGTGAGATAACCTTCACAATCCCTTCAGATTTGAAGGCTTTATAATTCTTCCGTGAGGTCTTCACTTGCTTCTCTTCCACTCTGGACTCATGTGTACTTACTTTCTGTATCACATAACTTATCACTGTACCATATTCCAATTGCGCCACGTCTGCTTTCCTCTGTGGCAAAACCATACCTTCATCAAGGACAGTGACCATGTATTTTACCTCTTTTGTACCACCTATTTAGTCAGAGATGGTTCTAGCCACATAGTATGCAATCAGGAAATAATATACTTTACTTGGAGTAGTGACATCTCTGAAAATTATCAGCGTATGCAATCCTGTCCTCTTCAATCACCAGCAGCTCTCTTCAAGGCCATATAAATGAATGGTGAGTGGTAGGTTGAGCAGGAATGTATTTGGCATTTCAGGAATCATTGACATTCAAGGATGTGGCTGTGGACTTTACCCAGGAAGAGTGGAGGCAATTGGATCCTGGTCAGAGATATCTGTATAAGGATGTAATGCTGGAGAACTATAGAAACCTGGTCTCAGTGGGTAAGTGTGGTTTTCCTGTGTGACAGGGTCATTTTGTTTCATAAGTCATTAAGTGGGATAAATGGTACAAAACTTCTCACTATAAAGCATTTATCTATGTAGGGACTTGGGGATAAATGATCAGAAAATCCTAATTCACTTTGGACACAAAAATAGGGTATTCTTGTTTCTTCTTTCCAGGTGAAAGTTCGCTTCTTAGAGTATAAAATAGATAGCTTTGTTGTGCTGTCCATGATATTCCACTTTCTCATCCTTCAGAGGCCCTAAGGAGCAAAGAGTTAGAACTTAATCCAAGGATGATTTTTTCCCCCAGCACAAATACTCAAGTCCTTTGTTTCTTTTCCCTGTGAGCAGGACATCAAGTTTGTAAACCAGATTTGATATCCCAATTGGAGCAAGGAAAAGAACCTTGGATTGCAGAGACAGAAATCCCAAGAGGTACCTTCTCAGGTGAGTGAGAAAGATCCAAGGAGATGAATCACTATAAGTAAGTCAAAAGAGATTGTAGACTTGTTTTTGTAATTTTCTTTCAGGCCATCTAGGCCTGCAGATAAGACTAATGTCATTTGGCACAAATTCACTCAAATACCCTGAGCTTGTATGTTTCTATAATATGATGAAATTATCTTAGAGTTGAAAGACATCTTAGAAGTCATCTAGTCCAAATTCTCACCCAGTGCAAGAATGGCAAAAGTAAAAGAAAACAAATATCAAACAGAAAACTAGACAATGAAATAGGTAGTCCATGTTTAGGGCCTTCAGTATTCTAAGAGACTTTTTTTTTTTAAATTTACTAGGCTGAGGTAAAATCTTACATTTTTTTTATATATTCAGGGATAAGGAGAGAAGTGGCTCTATAACTTCTTCAGAGATGTTCAGGCAAGGCTGTATAATTTTTCAGGGACTTTCATTACATGTACCTTGTGAGGTAGCTTGTTTAATTTTTGGACAGATGTAATTGTTGATAAGTTGTTGTTTTATCTTTATGAAGAGCTACCTTCTTTCCTTCTCATCTACCTCTGCAAGTTGAGAAAGCAAGAAAATCAAAACCTCTCTTACAGCTATGTTACAAGCAAATTCCTGTATTGGCCATGTTCTGCCTTGCCCTCCCCTCCCCCAAAAAAAGTCTTTAATCTACATTCTGAGTCCATCACTTTTATATCAGGAGGTAGGTAGCATGTTTCATCATGAGTTCACTAGAATTGTAATTGGTCATATGGTGTAGGGTGTGTTCAGGGAAGACTAATACCTCTGATGTGGGAGCTGCCAAGCCCTTTTCAGGGCTGCTTTCCACCTTTCTACCTGATCCATCTAACTCTCACTTGTGGCTCTAAGAAGCTGTAGCATGCACAGTGGCCACACTCCAATAAACAATTTTGGCAGACAGGCTAAAAACCAGGTTGAAAGTAACCAAGAGGTCTCAAACCCTTTGGTAAGATAGGGGGGTGTCTACCCCAAGCATGGGAAGACATCTGGTGGAAGGGACGAGTGAGAGCAGTTTGTTCCAACAGCCATGAAGGCAGCTGAAGTAGGTGTTGTGGAGTGCTTAGGGCTTGGTTAAATATTGAAAACACCAAGGTCATCTACGGCATCTTGAGCCATCATCAGTCATCTTGACTCTATCCTGCCACTGGATTGTGACAACTGGACGAGAGAATGAGGCTGACCATTTAATGCAACTCTGCCTTACTTAAATCCAATTTATGCACGAATCAAAAAATGTCACCCATACCATTTTACCATTTTTACCTCTCAGTCCTGTGGCCAAGACAGACAAGTGACAAGGCAGTAGGTGCAGATACACTGGGAGCTATTGTCACAACCTTGCACACAGGTGGCCCAGGCCATATGGTCGTTTTCTCGCTGGAAGCAGAGGTGAGATTCAGCAGCCCCCTAAGTATCTGAGCAGCCTTTTAAGGACCTCACTGCTCACCTCCTGGTATGAGGAAGGGGCTAGAAAAGATACCCTAAAAATTGTCTGTTTACCCAACATGGCCTATTTACCTCAGCAGGCGGGGATCCCATCCTGCAGCTGAAGCGCACACACACACACACACACACACACACACACACACACAAGATGGGGAAATGCAGAAGCTGCTAAAAGCAAAACAAGAACTCTCTAGGGTTTACCAGCAGGATAGTTCATCCGTCTCTAAGAAGGCAGCATTTAACTCCATCAGAAGTAAAGTACAAGCAGGCAGCATAAAGAGAAGCAGGATTATTGGCTCAGTAAGAAGGTAGATGAATTTCAGTTTGGGGTTTTTGTTTTTGTGTGAGACAATTGAGGTTAAGTGATTTACCCAGAGTCACACAGCTAGTGAGTGTTATATGCCTGAGGTCACATTTGAACTCAGGTCCTCCCGATTCCAGGGCCAGTGCTCTATCCACTGCGCCACCTAGCTGCCCCCTGAATTTCAGTTTTACTGTGATAGTAACAATCCAAAGCACTTTTATGATTCCCTGAAGGCTGTTTATGGGCCAAAGACATATGGTGCATTTCAACTACTCCGTGCTGATGGAGCCACATTGATTAGTGAGAAGGACATGATCCTAGAGAAATGGGCTGAACACTTCCATAGTATTCTCAACAGACCCTCATCAATCAATGCTAAAGCCATTGACTTTACATCAAGTTGAAGTCAATCCCTCTCTAGACAAATTTCCAACTGAAAAAGAAGTTTTGAAGTCCATTAGGCTCCTCTCCCTTGGCAAAGTACCTGGTGCTGATTCTATTCCAGCTGAGATTTATAAGGTAGGGTTCACTGCTCATACAAAAGCTGACTAAAATTTTCCAGATTATTTGGCAAGAGGAGGTTATCCACCAGGAATTCAAGGATGCCTCCATTGTTCATCTCTATAAAGGTAAAGGAAATGGATTTTCCTGTGGCAATCACAGGAGGTTTCTCTCAGTCATTGCTGCAAGATTCTTGCCAGAGTCCTCCTTAACAGGCTGATCTCTCAGCTGGAAGATGCTCGTTTGCTTGAGAGCCAGTGTAGCTTCAGAAAGGGCTGAGCAACTTGCCTGACAACTCCAGTAGAAATGCCAGGAGCAGAACAGAGAGGTCTGTACATGTCAGTTTGACCAAGGCCTTTGATAGTGTCCATTGCAAGGGCTTATGGAAAATGATGTCAAAATTTGATTGTCCAAAGAAGTTCATCAGTATCGTATGCCAGTTTCATGATAGCATGTTTGCCCAGGTTTGGGTAATGGGCAATGCTCTTGCACTTTCCCAGGCACCAGTGGAGTGAAACAAGGCTGTGTGCTTGCTCCTATGCTTTTTCTTAGCATGATGTTTTCAGCCATGTTGTCAAATACCTTCAATGAGGACAAGCATGTCATCAAGGTCAGCTATTGGACAGATGGTAAATTATTCAACTCAGAAAGGCTACAAGCCAAGATTAAAATGGAGGGAGCATTGGTGCATGTTTTTTAGTTTGCAGATGATTGTGCACTCAATGCAGCCTCAGAAGCTGAGATGCAACAAAATAGGATCGATTTTCTGCTGCTTGTGTTAATTTTGGCCTTACAGTTAACACCAAGAAAACATAGGTGCTCCACCAGCCGGCACTACACCATCCATACATGAAACTATTGGTTACATGGAAAAGTTCACTTACCTTGGCAGTATACTTTCCAGGGATGTACACATTGATGATGAGGTTGATGCATGCATTGCCAGAGCTAGTTTAGTATTTGGGAGGCTCTAAAGGAAAGTGTGGGAGAGAAGTATTAGACTGACTACCAAACTGAAGGTCTACAGAGCCATTGTGCTGACCTTGTTGTATGCCTGTGAAACCTGGACAGTATACCAGTGCCAGTCCAGGAAAACTGAATCTCTTCCATTTGAATTGTTTTAGGAGGATTCTGAAGAGCATCTGGCAGTTTAGGGTACTGCACGCTGAGGTCCTTTCTTGAACTAAACCTCCAAGCATTCAAACTCTACTGCAGAGAGTGCAACTCTGATGGGCTGGCCATGTTATTTGAATGCCAAACGTATGCTTACCTAAAAAACTATTTTACAGAGAAATCACACAAGGCAAGTGCTCACATGGTGGTCAGAAAAAGTGACACAAGGATACTCTCAAGATCTCTCTTAAAAACTTTGGAATTGATTGCAAGACATGAAAGACACTGGCATAGGACCACCCAGTGTGGTATGCACTCATTAGAGAAGGTGCTGTGCTCTATGAGTAAAGCACCCCCAATGTTCATATGGACTATTTGTGCCTGACCTGTGATAGAACATTCTGAGTTCATATCAGCCTGATCAGCCACAGTCGGATACACTGTAACTTGACACTAACGTAGTGAGGTCATTTTGGTCCTCGTTGAGAATGGAGGTTGACAATCAATTGGTCATAGCATTGATCAGATTTCTTAAGTCTTTCAAAGTTGTTTGTCTTTGTATGTATTGTTGCCCTTGTATAAGTGGTTTGTTATTTTTTTTCCTATTCATTTCACTCTGGATCATTTCATATAAGACCAACCAGGTTTCTCTAAAATGATACTCTTCAGCAGGGGACAGCTAGGTGGCGCAGTGGATAGAGCACTGGCCCTGGATTCAGGACGACCTGAGTTCAAATCCGGCCTCAGACACATAACACTTACTAGCTGTGTGACCCTGGGCAAGTCACTTAACCCCACTGCCTAACAAAAAAATTAAATTAAAACAATACCCTTCATCATTTCTTATAGCATAATAGTATTCCATCACGTTCATATATCCTAACTTGTTCATCCATTCCTCCAATTAATGAGTACCTCTCAGTTTCTAATTCTTTGCCACCGCAAAAAGAGTTACTACAAATGTTTGTATGCATGGATCCTTTTCCTCTTTAATTGATATCTTTGTGGTATAGAACTAGTAGAGAGATCACTGGGGGAAAGGGTATGCAGAGTTTAATATCTTTGGGAGCATAGTTTCAAACTGATTTCTATAATAGCTGGATGAGTTTACCGTTCCACCAGTAGTACATTAGTGTACCTGTTTTCTATAGCCTTTGACACTGTTGATCATTTCTCCTCCTTGATATTCTCTTCTCCCTAGGTTTTTGGAACACCACTATCTCCTGATTCTCTTTCTACCAACCAGACCCTCCACTTCAGTTTCCTTTGCTGGATCCTCTTACAGATCACATCCTCTAACCATAGGTGTCCCTCAGGGTTCTGGGCCCTCTTCTCTCTATATACAACTTTGTTTGGTCATTTCATCAGCTCCCCTGGATTTAATTAGCATCTCTATGCTGATTATTCTCAAATCTACCTATTCTGCCCCAGACTGTCTGCTAATCTCCAGACTCACATCTCTAACTGCTTTTCAGACATCTCAAATGAGATGTCCAATAGACATTTTAAACTCAGTATGTTCAAAACAGAACTTATCTTTCCTCCTAAATCCTCATCACTGTCTATGACACCAGCATGTTTGTGGTTTCCTGTGTTCATTTCTTTGGGTTCACTTTTCTCTCTCTCACCTCTGATATCCAGTTAGTTATTAGGAGTTCTAGATGAGGGGCCTTAATTTTTTCAGTGAAACATGAGGCAAATTTCTCAACTGAGAGAGTAAGATTGGGGGAGAGGTATGTGAAGTTTGAGAAAGGATGAAAAGGTTTGGAAAAACTGCTCTAATAAGTGGAAAAGTAAATTAATTCATATAAAAGGACACATAAAATTATTGCTTTACTGCAGAGAGGGTCCTGTTCAAACTGTGTAACATAATTTTGCATTAGACCCTGTCAACACAGTTTCATGATTTGCTCCAGTTTCATTCATTCCAGTACTTGAATAAGAACAAAAGCAGAGAATGATGGGAGTAATCTGGGGTGGGGGGGGAGGGGGGGTTGGGAGGGGAGGCCTTGGCAGAACAGGACTGGTGATAAGATAAGGAAGCTAGGGATTCAAGAAAAGAAAAGTCTAGTGCAGAGTTGAACTGGTTCACCAAGGGGTCAGGATGGGGAAGGGAGGAGAGTATAGCTTGTACAGGGGTGAAAGGCTGGGAAAGAATTTGAGGAGCAGAGGGATTAGAAGTCAGAGCAAAGATAAAGGATGGGGTTAGGGGTCATGAGGGAGAGGGAAAAATGGAATGGTAAAAGTTCAGAGTACCTGAAAATAGTTATCTCTTCCACATCATGGGGATTAGGGGCATGGTGACCCCACAATTTGGAATATCTGCATAAAATGTTTTGGCCCTCATATCAGGGAAGTCTGAAGTATTATGGTATTAGAAGATACAATATGTTGATATTATATAATACTATACATATATTTTATGCATTTCTGGGTTTCTCAACTTTTTCCTGTGTTTTCTGCTGGCACTTGCATGTCATCTGTGGCTTCCACAAAACTCCCATTTAATTTCTTATGCCAGCCTTCAATATATCGAAACTGTGATGGGGAAAGTCATGATGTGGAAGGGGTAACTGTAGAATACTTAGGTAATGGCAAGATCAAAGGTATGGAGATCTCGGTGTAGCTGAGTTAAAGTTAAGGAGTAGATCATGGAAAATAAGTAAATTTAAAAATGGGAAGTTAGAGTGCCTGAGGGAGTATCAATATGTATGTCACAGTCCCCTAGTTTCACAGTAGGAGTTGTGGAGGAGAGAGAGAGAGAAAGAAGGAAGGCAAGTGTCCTGAAGGTTGATAAAGAACAGCTACCAGAATCTTCATTGGGTAATAAATGTAGATTGAATGAACCTAAAAGGAAGAGAGATTACCCTTTTCTCACTTACCCTTCCTCCCCTTTTCCATCCTTTCCTCAGTTTCTGAGTCCATATTTGAAGATTATTAGATCATTATACTCATTATTACCATTTTCATTCTTCTGTTCTCACTTTGGTGGTTTTATTTCTCATAACCTAACCAACAAGACAGAGTTACATTTTTCTTTCTTTCAGACTGGGAGATCACACCTGAAACCAGGAAGTTAACTCCAAAGCAAAACATTTCTGAAGAGGAATCATTCCAGAAGGTAGAGGTAGAAAGATTCACAAGGAATAATATATGTTATTCTAAGTCATGTGAAACCTGGAGATTTGAAGACCACTTTGGCATCCCACAAGAAATATATGAGAAATATATAAAACAAATGAGAGTTGCCCCAAATAAAATCCTACCTGGGAAGAAAAACCCTGAAAGTAATCAGTTTCATCTGGACTCAATCCGTGTTATGGAGCAAAGTGTTCCCACTAAAGAGAGATACCATAAATATGATATATGTGGGAAAACTTTTAATTGTAATTCATACTTAATAAGTCATCAGAAAGGCTGTATACCAAAGAAGTCTTATGAATGTACTGAATGTAGGAAAATTTTCAGTAGGAGTGCACTCCTTAAAAAACATTCTAGAGTCCATACTAATGAGAAACCCTTTGAATGTAATGTCTGTGAAAAAGCTTTCAGAAATACTACACTCCTTATACAACACCAGAGAATCCATACTGGAGAGAAACCTTATAAATGTAATGAATGTGAAAAAGCTTTCAACCAAAAGACAGGTCTTAATCGACATAAAAGAATTCATACTGGGGAGAAACCTTATGAATGCAAAGAATGTGGGAAAGCTTTCAGATGGAGTACACAGCTAACTCAACATCAGAGAATTCATACTGGAGAGAAACCCTATAAATGTAGTGAATGTGAGAAAACTTTTAGTCAGAAGGCAGAATGTACTCAACATGGGAGAATTCATACTGGAGAGAAACCCTATAAATGTAGCGAATGTGGGAAAGCCTTCAGATATAGTACAAACCTAACTCAACATCAGAGAATTCATACTGGAGAGAAACCCTATGAATGTAGTGAATGCAGAAAAGCATTTTCTGATAGGTCATCTTTTAACAAACACGAAAGGATTCATACTGGTGAGAAGCCCTATAAATGTAGTAAGTGTGGGAAAGGCTTCATTCGACGTGCCGACCTTACCCTACATTACAGAACTCATACTGGTGAGAAACCTTATGAATGTAATGAATGTGGAAAAGCCTTCAGCTTGCGTGTACATCTTACTCGACATCAGAGAACCCATACAAGAAAGAAACCTTAAATATGTAATGAGTGTGGGAATGTCTTCAAGCACAGATCATCCCTGGTCAGATATCAGAGACTTCATAGTGAAGTGTGATCCTAGGAATTTAGTAAATGAAAAAGTTTCATTTGGAATTATCCCATATTCAAATAGCCTGTGAAAAATAGTACTAGCTATGATTTTGTTTGGTGTACTTGATTGAGAAATATGCTGCTGCTTCCTCGTCCCTTTCTCCACTGTATATCTTTTTGTGATAGTATATTCCCTAGCATAGAGAACAAGAGGTTTTACATCAGTTCTTCTGATAGCAGTTCTTTTTATGATCAATTTGCTTAATGATTCATTTAACACTTATATGTCTAATGAGCATTTTTACATCACGGAATGTTTTTTAATTGCCTAAATTTATAGTTCAGGTCTTCTACCAAACATTTTTGCATCATTTTTTGGTGATAAAACATCAGAAATAATATGTGAGTCTTACTAGGGTTAGGGAAATTGATGATTAGATTGTTGACTTTAAGTGAATTGAATTGCTTTCCTTAATACTAGAATTGCATAGGTAGGAATAAGGAGTGGACTTCTTTCCAAGCTTTCTTTAAGGGTATAGAAACCAATTTATTTTAAAAAATAAAGATGCTCTTTAGACAGGTCCAACTCATGAAGCAGACTATTGAAGAAAAACCTTCAGTTACTACTCAAACCTTATCCAACATCACAGAATACATACTGAAAGAAAAAACTCTACAAATATGGGAACCCTATAAATATAGGAAGGCCTTCACCTGGAGAACACCCTTTACTCAACATCAGAGACTTCATATTGAAGAGAGACCCCATAAATGTAATGAATGTGGCAAAAGATTTCAGGACCTACTCATACTTTCTTCAGTATCAGAGTTTATACTGAGGAGAAACTATGAATGCAATGAATGTGTCAGAGTGTTTCATGATAACCCATTCTTTACTAAACATCTGAGAATTCATACAATAGAAAAACCCTATAAATGTAATGAACATGGCAAGACATTTACCTAGACTACACACCTTAGTTTTAACATCAGACAGGTGGCACCAGAAATCATAAATGTGACATGTACCACAGCATTTTAGTCATATCATATTTCTCAGTAAGCATCAAACAAAATACACTATGGAGAAACCTTAAGACCAAGTGTAGCAAAACCTTAAGTGATATCCCTTGGCAAACATCAGAAAATCATCCTAGAAATCTTTTGAATGTAATGAATGTAAGAAATCCCTTAATACTTAAGCCTAAGTAAGCATCAGAGAGTTCATGTTATGAGAAAAAACCTATGAATTTAATGCATGTAGCAGAACTGTTAGCATCCATTCATACTTTTCTTCAGCATCTAAAGGAGATATCATATAAATGTAGCGAATGTAGGAGAAGCCTTCAGTGACAGCTCATTCCTTACCACACATCAGAACATTAATAATCATGAAAAACTAACAGTGTAGTAACCATGGGAAGGCCTTTAGGCAGAGAACATGTGATAATATCAGAGAATCTATACTTAAAGAATTCTCAGAGAGGAGAGGAAGGGGGAGAAAATTTAAAACAAAATCTTACGGAAGTGAATGCTGAAAACTAAAAATGAATAAATTGTTTTTTAAAAAAAATTCTCATTGGGGCAGCTGGGTGGTGCAATAGATAGGGCACTGCCCTTGGAGTCAGGAGGCCCTGAGTTCAAATCCAGCCTCAGACACTTGACACTTCCTAACTGTGTGACCCTAGGCAAGGAACTTAACCCTGATTGCCTTGCCAAAAAAAAAGAAGAAGGAATTCTCATAAATGGAATGTGTGTGGCAAATCTTTCAATAACAGCTCAGTACTTGTTACAGAATCCACACTGGAAAGAAGTCTTATGAATGTTATTAATGTGGCAGAGCCATCAACAATAGCTCATTTCTTATTTAACATTACATTGGAAAATGTAATGAATATGGAAATGCCTTTGAACAGAAACACTGAATATCAAAAAATTCATTTGAGAGAGAAACCCTATGAATGCAATGAATATGAGAAGGCTTTCAGAAGGAATATGTGCCTTTAATGACAGATCATCCCTTGTTTAGCTTCATAGAATATATACTGGAGAAAAATCTAAATGCGGCCAATGTGGGAAAGCCTTCAGCACCCCTCTATATTTTCTTGGCCACCAGAAAATTCATATTTTAGACACTATGAATATAAAGTATGTGGGAAGGCTGACAACAGTAACACATTATACAGCAAACAATTCATACTGGAGAGGAATCTGTCTATGTAATATATTTATGTAAGAACAAATTAATCTTTTGTTCAATCTCTAGATAATACTACAGAGAAACTACAAGAATGTAATGAATGTAGGAAAGTTTTCAGTGACAGATCATCTCATTCAACATTAGAGAATTCATGCTGGAGAAAAGCCTTATAAATATAAAATAAAGCCAAAGCTTTTAGTACAAACTTATGCATTCCCCATAATCAGAGGGTCCAAAGAGGAGTGAAACTATATGAATACAACAAAACCTTTAGCCACAATACATACTTTATTTGTTATTAATGAATCCACACTGGGGGGAAAAACCCTATAAACAACGAATGTGGTAGAGTTTTCAGTGACACCTCATCGAACATTAAACATTGGAGAACTCACACAGGAGAGAAACCCAAAGTGTCAGCTCTCTAAACCATGGAAATACTGTCCTTTTAAGGACAAAGCTGTATAAAAACATGTCTAACCATATATTCATAAACATATTCACAAATAATATGGTCCTTTTAAGAGTCAAGGGGGCATAGTAAGCTACTAAGTAAAAACTTATTCCCTATCTTCTTCATGTCATCTGAGTTTTTGGCATAATTTTTTTTTTAATCTGGAATCTGGATTCTATTGTTTTAATCCAGAACAACACCACTGTGCAACAGTAAATTATATTGAAATAAAAATGCAATAGCATAAATATCCTTTGATTCTTTTCCTTTTCTTAAAAAAAAAATCTCACTACCTCACAACCTATATTGAGCAAATGGGGGGAAAATATCCAACCCCCAGTAAAGCTCTCGATACTTTATATGCATAGGCCAACAAAACAAATTCCTGCATTGGCCACGTCCAAAAATATAACTTTCTTCATTTCAAGTTCAGTACCTCTCTGGCAGGAGGTGAGTGGCATATTTTATCATCATTCTTTTGGATTTGTGGTTTATCATTGTATTGACCAGAATTCTTTCACATTGTTTTTTTGCTTTAATTGTTATCACTGTATAAACTATTCCAGTTCTTCTCACTTTGCTCTTTATAAATTCATAAAAATCTTCCTAATTTCCTCTGAAAATGTATATTATCTATTTTCTTATTACATAATAATAATCCATTAAAATTCATATACCAACATTTGTTTAGCCTTTCTTGAATAGGATATCACCTCTTAGCATTGCATTGTTGACTGCCGTGAAAAGAGTTGCTCCTATTCTTGTATATTTTTAGTTGGGTTTGTCTAGGTCTGAAAAGGGTACATAAGGTCCCCCAACCATTATAATTTTGTTATCTATTTCTCCATTTCACCTAATTTTTCCTTTTAATTCTTAGATATGATATCCTCTCGGGTGCATAAAATATTGATATTGATTCATTATAGTACCTTTAAGGTACTATAGCTCTAAGGATTGTCCACCATGTCTGGAAAGCTCTTCCCCCTTTATCTCTACCTCCTGGCTTTCCTGGTTTCCCTCAAGTCTCTTCTTCTTCTTCTTCTTCTTCTTCTTCTTCTTCTTCTTCTTCTTCTTCTTCTTCTTCTTCTTCTTCTTCTTCTTCTTCTTCTTCTTCTTCTTCTTCTTCTTCTTCTTCTTCTTCTTCTTCTCTTCTTCTTCTTCTTCTTCTTCTTCTTCTTCTTCTTCCCTTTTTTTTTGGGGGGGGAGTTGGGGTTAAGTGACTAGTCCAGGGTCACACAGCTAGTAAGTGTCAAATGTTTGGTCTGAGGTCAGATGTGAACTCAGGTCCTCCTGACTTCAGGGCTGGTGCTCTATCCACTGCACCACCTAGCTGCCCCTGAAATCCCATCTTCTACAGGAACCCTTTCCCAAACCTCCTTAATCCTAGTGCTTTCCCTCTCAATTATTCTATCCTATATGTAGCTTGTTTGTACATATTTGTTTACTTTTGTCACCCCCATTAGATTGTGAGCTTCTTCAGAACAGGGACTGTCTTTTGCCTCTTTCTATATCCCCAGTGCCTAGCACATAATAGGAGCTTTATAAGTTTTTATTGACTGACTGGCTATGTATCTCTTTATCATGTCCATATTTATTTACTGGTAGCCCTATATGAAATCATTATTGCTACCACTGATTTCTCAGTTCAGCTAAAGCAGTCTTTCATTTTACCTGGATGTGAATCTGTGTGTTTCAAGTGTTCCTTGTAAACAATATATTCTCAGGTTGTACTTTCAGGTCCATTCTGTTGTCTTCCATTTTATACATTAATTCATCCCATCCACATTTACAGTTATGACTGCTAATTGTATTTCCCTCCATCCTGTTCTCTAATATTTTTTTATCTGCTCCCACCTCACTTTTTAAAAAATGAGGTGCTAAAAGAGGGAGTTTGTTTGATACTTGTGATCTTATTGAAATGAAAATGAGGTTTATAGAATGCCCTGTATTCTTCATCTTATGTGCCTCAATTATTCAACAGTGATTTCCCTCCTCTTCTTCCTTTCTTTTTTCCAAGTATAGTCCCCTATACCTCCCATTTTTGTCTTCTGAGACTAATATAATGGAACAAAACCACCCACAAACCCTCTATCGTTTTATCCTTTCTCTATGGCCCTTAAAGATATTCAGATTTTGAGAAGACATTTGTTTCTTATCACCCATTAATATGTAAACAATCCTCACTTTAAAAACTTTAAATTAAATATATGTACCTTTCTATATCTCTCTTGGTGTCTGTATTTCAATTTCAATATATCTTTCCAATTCTGGCCTTTTCATCAAGAATTCTTATTCTATTAAAGATCCAACCCCTCCTTTCTCCCCTCCTCCCCACCCCCCCAGTAGTACTAAACTTAGTTTTGCCTATTAGGTTATCCTTTCATCTTTTGGAATATTGTATTGATTTTCCTTTTCTTTAATATGGCAGCTCCCAAGCCTTGAGTGATCCTTATTGTGCCTCCTTGGTACTTGAACTTCTTTTTGGCTGCTTTTAAATTTTCTTTTACTTGGAAGTTCTTAATTTTGGCTATGATGTTCCCAGGAGCTTCATTTTGGAAGGCAACCAGTGGATTCTTTCTCTTTTCTTTTTGTCCTCTGATGCTTTATAATTTCTTAAAATATGGTACATTTATTTCATTTTTATTATTTTGATGTTCTATATGTAATTTTATATTACAATTTTATTTATATTCTATTTTTATATTTTAGGGTTTCTTTTTTATCTCTGATCATAATTTTCAGATAGTGTAATAATTCTTAGATTCTCTCTCCTTGCCCTGTTTTCCAGGTGAGTTTTGGGTATGTGTTTGTACGTTTGTGTGTGTGTGTGTGTGTGTGTGTGTGTGTGTGTATATATATTTGTTGTGTGTGAAATTTAACAGAAGGGCGAACTGAGGCAGTTCTTTGAACAAGATATTTATTAACAGGGTCATAACAACCTGATAATAAAAGATGGGCCAGATGGCACTGCCTCTTGCTGAAAGACACCAAATTAAAGATACAACTTATTTTTATAAGCCTAGAACAAACAACAGAACAGAAATCATATAATTAGCCAGCATCACAGGGATGAGGGATCATTGTTGATTACATCAAAGAAAGTGAGCACAGCCCACAAATGGGGACCATCTCTCTCTATTTCTAAGCAGTGCTTTTGTGAATTTTATGGGCCCCAGCTGCATCTTGAAGTTACTGATAGGGACCCAGGTGTACAGACTCACTGGAACCTGAGGATTATATAAGACTAACATATTTACTAAAGATGGGACAAGGTCAGTCAGTCCAGCTTCTCAAGTATAACACACAAACCCTACAGGAAATGCTGAGATAATGTTTTATAAAAATATTGAGAACACAGTTTTTCTTTAACAGTGATTGTAGGAAAGTTCAAGCCTTTGGTATCTGTCTTCAAGGAGAAAGGAGACTGAACCTTTGCATGTAAGCTTCTTCACTCAGAGACAGAGAAGAGGCTTTAGGTTTGTTACACAGAATACAGAAAAAGATTGCAGAATAAAATCAAATTTAAAATACAGGATCAAGAATTAATTCACTATACATTAATGTGTGTGTGAATATATATATATACAGATATCTAGATATAGACCTTTCTTACATTTTCTTCTGTTTAGCCCATTCTAATTTGGGGGGCATTAAATTCTTGGGTGAAGTTTTCCACCAATTGTTTTAAAGTATCAACTTTTTTTTTTGCTATTCTTTATTCCTTAGATTTTCTATTCATTATATCTTCATTTCTCTTGGGTATTCCTGAAATCCCTGTGGCCAGGACTCTTCTTCTCTGAACATTTATTTGCACCTGTAGTTAAGCTACTATTCTCCTTGGGATTGACCCCCCCCCCCAAGAGTCTCTCAAACCAAGGTATATCATCATGGTGT